AAATAATTAACTAATGAGTAAAATACACATCCATACATAAATGTCTAAAAATAAATTAGTAAATATTACAAACCAAAATAAATATAAAACATTTAAGGGGCTAAAATAATAGAAACAGAAACTTAGGGGGCTAAACAGCAAAAAACAGAAAATTAATGGACCAAAATAGCACTAACCGAAATTTAAAGGACTAAATATAAAATAAAAATAATTTAGAGCCCATATCAAAAACATTAAACAGTCAAATACTAGAAGTGAAAATAACCCAAAAGTAAAGCTTATGACTAAATTGAAATTTCACAGAAACATGGAGGATCAAAAAGTAATTAAATAAAATGTCAGACAGTGACCAAAATAGAACATTTGCAAATATGATGGCTGAATTCAAACATCCACAAAATATCACAACACAAGAACTTAGGACTAGAATGAAACTATTACAAACATAATGTCCAAAAGTCAAATATTCACAAAAATGACATAACATACATTAATAGGACTAAAATAAAGTATTTTAAAAAATGGGGTGGCCAGATTCGAATATCAAAGAAACACACATGAAATATTAAATCAGTGGCTAAGATGTAACATTTATAAATATTGAAACCAGAACCAAATATAAACCAAAAAATGTTATAATACCTAGGATAGTGACTAAAATGAACCTAAAAGAAAATTTAAGCCTAAATCAAATATTAATCCCAATCGAACCCACAAGCCAACATAAAGGACCGAAATAAAAGGATGCAAAACAGATGATCAAAATCATAAACCTCATCGAAAATAAAAACTAAGAACAAAGATGGACTAAAATAGAAGGCGACCCAGTTTAAAGACTAAAACATAAATGTTAATAAATTCCATTAATATACATACGATGATCAAAATAAAATTAATCACAAATCAATAAACCTGAATAGGCATAAAACCAAACTAACATTACAGAAAATTTAAGGACTGAAATAAACATTTCACAAATTCCAGGCTTGATATATAAAAATTGTCATAAACATCAACACATATGTTAGGACGAAAATATAACAAGAAATAAAAAGGAGACTCAAATAGGAAAACTGAAACCTAAAAGACTAAATAGGAATTAAACCATACACAAGCCAATGGCTAAAATAATATATTCACAAATATAGTGACCAATGTAAAATATTAACAAAAATAACTTAACAAATAATAAAAGGACTAAAATATAAATAAGGAAACATCAGAATCTGAAATCAAATAAATGAAACTTCATTTAATGGCTAAATAATACGGTTACAAAGCATCAGGGACCAAAAGAGTAGTTTACCCCTTAATATGAAAACACGGAAACCTCTAAACGGCGTCGTTTTTGAAACTGGGATATAATCCCATTTTAGGGTTATTAACCGAACCCTAAATCATTTTCACCCCTCTCTCAGCCTCCTTCCTTTCCCTTTCTCTACTCTCCTTTCTCCCTCGCCGCAACAGCCAAACAGAGCACTCAACCCCGGCCACCGTAGAACGGTGGCCACGGGGTCTCACAAACTACACAGTTTCCCCTTAAAATCGACCTGAAACTAAACCCCCACTCACAACCAAACCCGAAACCCCCAAATCCGAAAGGTAAAAAAAAATATACCTCCAAAGATAGGGCCTAATCACCCCGATGAAGCAATGGTGGTCGGTTATGGGTAAGCTTCGGTTCCTCTCTTTTTCCTTTCTGATTTTTTTCTAAACCCGAATGGTCTCTCCCTTTTTTTGTTATCACCCCCCTCCCTCTCTGTTCTCTTTGCTCTTTCCTTTTATCTTGCTTTGCATGCTGATTTTTTTTTACTTCGTTTGGTGAGATGATGAGGTCTATGAATAGGGTTTGATTTCTCTGATTTGGGTGAATAAAGTCCAGATTTTTCGGGATTTTTGGGTGTTATTTTAATGGGTTTTCAGATTTAGGCCACTGTATTTGATAAGTTGATATTGATTTGGTTTCTGTTGATTGTTTTTTTTCACTGTTTCTATCACTGTTCGGCCTCTGTTAATGATGACGGCGACGATGAGATGGACCGGCAGCAGTGACGACGGCGGTGGGAAGTGCAACTTGCTGCTGGCGGTGGCGGCGGCTGGATAGGGGATTTAGGGTTTGAAACCCTAATTTGTTTTAGGGTTTGAAACCCTAATCTGATTTGGTTGTTGGGCTCTGGGATTGGGCCAATTGGGCTTCGGGTTGTTGGGCCTCTGTTGGGCCTTGGTTGGGCCTTGTTGTATTGGGCTTTGGCCTGCAAAATATGTAAAATGTAATATTAATAATAAATAATAATAATAATAATAATAAAAATAACGATAATAATAATATACAAAAAAGACCCGGACAAAAACGGGTGTCTACACTAACTTTTACTAGAATTGAAAACAAAATCGAGTCATTGGCCCATAATATTTGTTTAACTTACATAACCCAGACTCATAACAAATTCAATAACTTAACGGACTGCAGCAGTTGATCCAACATCCCTGAACAATCTATCAACTAATTATATCTAATTTTCAGCTAATTACATTCTAAAAAAAAGCCCTAGAACATGGTTTGCTTTAGCAAAGAGTAATTCACCTATCATTATGAATCAGATGAATGGTAGTTGATGAGATCGAGACGGCCGTTGACCACAATACAAACTTGGGAAATGGAAAGTATTGAGATGTTGGTCAGCTCATAAGAATGATACACCTTGGCGTTACGAATTTCTGTGGTTTTGTAGTAGAAGGCGTTCACAAATAAGCGCCATGGCTTACTAGGATTTGGAAGAGAGTGACAGATTATTACATGACACTGCTTTCCTTTCATTCATTAGCATTTATTTTCTTTTTTAAATAAAAAATTATTATTCCTAGATATTTTGGGTTCAAGTAGTTGTATTCGCAGGATATGTATGTATTGCTAATAGATTAAGAAAATTCTAGATAGATATTATATTATAATAACCAGACTATTTAAAAATAAGAGAAAGAGGAAGTTTCTATAATACAAACACGACAGCAACGGAATTCCCCTGATTATTGCAAGCCATAAGAAAATGTTCTGTCCTTTTTAAAGCATTAGATTTAGACCTCATTCTCTTCCATTAATTCCTTTGTCTTAGTGGACAACAATTTGCTTCTTTTCTCTTTCGCTAAGGAAATTGTTCTACCTTATCCAATTCCAAGGGCCTTTTTAAGCTGATTATAGTGGGAATATTACTATGTTGCCTCTTTGTATTTTATAATTAGCAAAGCACTGCATAGCAGGTCCACTCATCAATCATTCAGTCTTTGGAATATCAATAATCAATACATGTATGTCCACTGCCTAAGTCTAAAATGCAGTCAAAAACCATCTAATTATCTAATTAATGATAGTGCAATAGTGACGGGTTTAAAAATATTTTTATGAGTTAACACATATATATTTATAATAAACTTTTTCGTATATGGTGGATGTAAATAAAATTTCAAAATGAATGTAATCAATTAAATAAATAATTCATTTAAGTAAATCAAATTTCATTATGAACAAATCGTAGATCTAGCCGTGTTGTGAAATGCAATTTAGCTACAAAATTTAGGGTATGCTTTGTTCCTTGGTATCCAACTTGGCAATTTAAATGAAAATAAACTCGCATCTACCACCTAATTAAAAATGGTCCAATTTGGAATTTAAGGAAGATTGTGAGTGTGAAGAAATGGTACTGTTTCAGTACATGGAAGGGTGTCCTGCCAAATACTCATCTTTCAAAAGATACGAATGGATATTGCCCTCATATGTAGAGTTGTCGTACATCCATTTTTCTAACTATATTTTACAGAAAAATAAAATCCTTTAATGGAGGTTGGTGGTGCACGCAACAAACTTTCTCACTGCCAGAGCTGGACAAACACAACGCACAAGCAACGTGGACAGCTGTGGATCGAACTCTCACAGCCTCAAGTTCCATGGTGTTCGCGACGTGGACCTACCGTTTACTGGCACGTGAGCAATGAAACAACTGTCTCAATCCCCCGACTGAGCCTTTGTTTACTTAATCTTCATCTTCTCCACCTGGCATCTCTTTAACATTTTACTATATTTTCGATTAATCTCCTACTTCCTCGATCCTCTTCAATCATTCTGATCCTCAGCGTCGTGCTTAATTAGGAGTCCACGTTTTTCCTAAAGACACATTTCATATCAGGTTGGAGATTCTTACTCACATTTCAATATCCAGTTCATGCATTTAAAAAAAAAAATCAGTAAAATCAATGTATCAACAAAAAAAAAAGTTTGACCTAGCGATGCATGCATTTTTTTAACATTTGTTTATTTTCACATGTTCAAATAATTTAGAATTTATATAACAAATGAATTCTTTTGTTTCTCTCATCTAAAAAAGATCTTTCAAAATAATAATTAATTGTTTTTATAAATGTGTAGAGCAAACCTTTTAAAAATAAATAACATATATCAATAATTAAGTGACATAATGAAATTAGAAGGATTATTTTTGTAATAACTTTTACAATATCTTATTTGAAATAATTGATTAACAAATAAGATATCCATAATTTTTTTAAGAAAAAAAAAACATATGCGGATATGCCTTGCAATATTGTAGACGTAAAACCTATGGGAAGGATGGAAAGAGGAGGGACACGTTGTACTAAATGAGTGGTTTTGGAAATATTGTATATAAGCTTACCAAATTTTATGCCTTAAAGGATCCGTCTAAGTAATTACCATGACATGTCCACCACATATTTCGTAACACCGATCAATGCCAAGCGTAAAACGCCCACTCATTCCCCGACCCAAATCAACGGCTTAGATTATCTCCACGCGGCCACTAGGCCCCACCTTCCCACTCTTTCTTTTACGTCAAAGGAAAATAGGAAGACCATTTTCCGTATTATCCATTTATAAATTCCACGTGGGATCAATAATTATAAAAATATTTAGCTTACACGTCTTTAAATACCCATTTGGGCCCTCCAAAAACACACGCCTAAACCATACACAGAAGAAGAAGAAAAAAATGGAGAAACAGAGCAACTCCAAGAAAACAGCTTGGATCAGGGGCAAGTTCTTAGGCAAAGGCGCCTTTGGTACCGTGAGCTTGGGATTCAATGAGTCAGACGGCACCGTTTTCGCTGTTAAGTCTGTCGAATTGTCAACGTCGACGTGCTTTCCCAGCCAATTGGAGTGCTTGGAGAACGAAATCAGGATCCTCCGTTCCCTTTCATCTCCATACGTCGTTGGTTATCTCGGCGATGACGTGACCACTTCTTACCGGAATCTTCACGTGGAATACATGCCAGGTGGTACTGTTGTTGACGCGGCGGTTGTTAAACAACGGTCGGCCGACTTGCATGAGAGGGTTTTGCGGTGGCACACGCGGTGCTTATTGTTGGCTTTGAAGTATGTGCACGACCAAGGCATTGTACACTGTGATGTCAAAGGGAAGAATGTTTTGGTCGGTCCAGATTTCACCTCCGTAAAGCTCGCCGATTTTGGCTCCGCAATTGTAAAGGAATGTGCGGCGGACAAGGATCATAGTACCATGATCACGCCACGTGGAAGCCCTCTATGGATGGCTCCGGAGGTTATACGCGGTGAGTATCAAGGGCCGGAGAGTGACGTTTGGTCCTTAGGCTGCACCGTCATTGAGATGGTCACCGGAAAGCCAGCTTGGGAAGATCAAGGCTTCAACTCATTGGCTCGTATTGCTAACTCGGAGGAATTGCCTCGGTTACCGGCTCAGTTATCTGAACTGGGCAAGGATTTAGTTGACAAGTGTTTGAGAAGGGATCGGAAACAAAGATGGAGCTGCGATCAGCTGCTACAGCATCCATTTGTGAGATCGGCTTCAGCCCCGATCGGGGAACCATCTCCACGTTGTGTGCTCGATTTCAACAGCTCGGAGTTCAAAGACAATGAAAATACGGGAAACTTGGAAGGTTCGGTGAGGGAAAGGATAGGTAAATTAGCGAGGGAAGGCGGCGCGTTTTGGGAATCGGATGGATGGGTGGCGGTGAGGACTTACGGTCGTGAAACGCATCAAGAAGGGACAAAAGAGGAAACGGAGTGTACAGGTACGGTTGGGATTATTAGGCAAGGAATTGAAGGGACAAATTCGGAAACTGCTGATTGTTGTTATGGCGCTAACTCAGTGGAGTGGCAGTGTTGCAATTACGAGGTCACGAAAAGGATAAAATGGTCGAGTGCTTGGAGCTGTCCGAATGGGTTACAAAAGGGAGAGTTGAGAATCTACATCTTTTGTAATTTATTATTACAACTATTTTTCTGTAATTTAAGAAAACTCATATATGTTTTATTGGTCTTCTTTTATTACTCCTTTATTTACTATATTCTTTTATTTTTTCCCTCTAGGCCTCAACTTTCTCGTGCCATTTCCATTTTCATTCACTCATTCTATACCTCAACTTTTCTTTTCTTTTATTGCAATTCTGATGCCGCTGAATTATATTTTTTTTATTAATTTAAGGTGAATACAATGTAGTCTATGTTAAAAAATTATCAATCATTTGATATTATTCGCTCATATATCACTGTATGGATGGTGCTCAAATCTAAAACTTCAAAGAATAATAGTAATTTCTTAACAATTAAGATTGTTTAATTCGTGTTATATTTGAGACCTTATCTTAGGTATTAGGGTGTTGTTTGGTTGACGGCTTCTTCCGGCATTGAAAAGGCACATAAAAATAGTGGATGAGTTCAACGCACAAATTGCTTTATGGGATGATCAAGTGCACCAATTTGCTTGATATATAATATCATTTGAGATACACTTGGTAGGTAGATGCTCATTTTGAAGCTTCCCACCAATGTTTTTATTTGTGTTTGGCCGCGTGGTCCAGTTTTGGAAGCTTCACCGTGTTCCCTAAAAACAGAGCATGCTCTACTAGTAATGAATGTTTTACAACTATTTCCCGTGTGAATGTAGTGGTAACATTTTGTGACAAAGTAAGATGGAATTACGCGGAATGGGATGCGATAATAGAGTATCAACTTATGACCCAAGAAAAGTTATTGGTTTGTTTTTCACTTGTAAATTTAATAATTATTGGTACAACTGTTTGGAATATTGTTGATGAGAATAATTGGATTATAACGATAATAGGTAATTTATCATGTCTGATTTGAACGAAGAATCGTAATCGGGGAGGGATGAATTAGGGTGGGGCGGGTGGGTACAGTTACCCCTTTGAAAATTTAAAAATATCATATATTATAGATTTTCTCTAATTATTTTCTATTAAAAAATATGTTTTCATCCCCTGAAATTTTATGAACTCTTTTAAGACATTTCCAAGATAGTTGTAGCACAGTGATAGACTCAAATCAAGGTCCTCCTCAACCAAATTTCTTTTGGTTATTCTTTGCCATTCCACTCATCTTCCAAGACACTTGTAACACAAAGTAGCTCAATCATCAACACTCATACCGGTGACAAAACATCTATCAATCGAGAGTCTTAACTGGAGTGAAACATCCTCCAAATTAATGATGCACTCCCCACATAGAAATTGAAATGTGTATGTCTCTGATCTCTATCTCTCCATTAATAGTGAAGAAATGAGCGTGGATTGAAATCTACAACCTCTGATTACTTGGGAGATGTACTCAAATTCGACTTGTCTTTAAGTACTCAAAATATGAGTCGGTAGATAGATTAGTATATCAAAAAATACGATTATCAACCTCTGATTACTTGGGAGACGTACTCAAATCCGACTTCTAAAATACGACAATCAATCTATACGATAGAAATTTAATATATAAAAAAATAATATATTGAATAAAATATAACAAAATTTAAATAATATATTAAATAAATTTTAACAAAAATTTCTTACCATATCCAGTTAATGAGTCACAATATATTTTCATCCAATCGTAGTATATCCATTTTTTTCCCTTGGACAAGTACCAACAAGATCTCACTAGAATTCTCTCTAATTCATATAGTCAGATCCAGGGTACTCACCAGTTTAAGCTAATGAAAGAGACAAATTTTTGTTGGCCACTTCTTTTTCATTGGATATCTTTCTCCTAACTTGTTGCTTCAGCTTTGAGCTCAGTGAGAGGCTCAAATCAAGGTCGTCCTCAACCGGTTTTCTTTTGGTTATTCTTTGCCATTCCGCTCCTCTCCCAAGCCATTTGTTTGCAAAAGTGGGATTCATATGCATTAGCATTGGCTGCATTTTTAGTTCGTCCTGAAACTCTTCCGTTTGCCCGACAGGTTGCTGGTTGAAGATGAAGTTATTATTCATAGGGGCAACCTCATTCCTTGCGTTTGAACCAAGCTCTTCATTCATGTTTGAATGACAAAAACCAGTTTTCCATCTACTATTTATGCATTTACTGAAGTAAGGATCGGACACTGAGTTCCCGTGGACAGCACTCCATGGAATATCGCTGTATATGTCAATGCCAGAAACATTAGGAGGCTTAACTTACAAAAAAATCAAAAGCTCAATCTTACTATACCTGATTACTCTTAGATGATCATGAACCTTGGACTTGTGCCAGAGACTTTGAGAATTGTAATTTAGGCTTCCCAAAAGGTGCCTGTTGTTTAGAACTGTCACATATACCATGATAGATTGTATTGTTAGAGAATATTTGTAGAATCTAATTAACCCTAAACAGTAGCGGATCCATAGCTTCTCAAGGCTAGACATATGTCCACTATAAAATCTAAATTTTCTTCGGTTAATTATTTATTTTATTGATGGCATCTACTATGAAATTTTATGTTGCTAACATATATATATATATATATATATATACTCTCAAAAATATTTTTGGATCCTCCCATAACCCTAAATTTACAATCGAGGATCTATGTTTATATGGTCAAAGAGTTGTACATACCTTGACCCTGATCATTGATCATTTTGCTCCGATACATCTAAATACTAAAAAAAATCGAAATTAGAACAATTCCTTTTTAAGATTGCAAATGGTTGATACATAGATTTTAAGAAAGCACCTGTAAATGGCTTTTGACATGAGAAATATTAAGACCCTTGATGCTCATTAGTTGCAAGACCAGCTTTGGAGTTGCTCCTACACACCAAAGAGCAGACCAATTTAAATGGATATTTTGTTTTGAAAAGCTGTAAATGTAGTAAATGGATGGCAAGGATCATACTGTCCTGACCTCCAAGTCTCTCCACCGCTCGAACGAATGAAAGATGAAGCTCGGTGGTCCAACGTAGCCTTGGCATCTTTGATCTCGCATACGACCGAACTCCACTTGAAGTAGTCGCCTTCTTCTCACCTTCTTCAACTATGCTGTTGCTAGAACTTGTACCTTCTTTGACTTTACTTCCACCATCACCTTCCTTATCTTCATCCAACTTCAATGGATTCTTCTTCATCCTGATTATTGCAAGTTGATGTCAACAATTCAAGTACAAGTCTGTGAGAAAGAAGGTTCCATAGCTTGGAAGAATGTAGAGCTGGTTTTCCCAATCTATTCCAAATGGAAAGTACAAACCCTAACAGCACTCAGTTTTTGGTGGAAATAATATTTGTCTTCATACATTGCGGACCCAGATCATATTCTGTGGATGATGACAGATATATACATGTCATGTACATAGCCACATGCATGGGATGCTGTCATATATACTATGGTATATAGAAAGGTAATGACATGACATACTAGCTAGATGCTATATTTGGGGCAGCAAAAGATAAAATCACACAGATTTATTCGTAAGTAATTATGTTCGCTACTTTTTTAATATACAATTTATTGAATATATTAATAAGTTAAAAAAATTAAACACATACAATTCTTTAAATTTAGGGTAAAGTACACAAATGATCTTTGATTATAGGGTGTTGCTTTGTTGAGTCCATTGACTATTAAAAGTTACAAAATGATCACTTGACTATTCATATGTACCAAACTCATCATTTTTGTTAAAATATTGACAGTCGTCTGAGCTGGATGTTAACTTGCTGATTGAGATATAATAAAATTATATTTTAATAATGTCTACTGACACTACCGTTACTTTGAAGTACTGGCTCAACGACATAATGTTTCAAGCATTGACTCAATGACATAATATAAATGGAGATCGATCCACAAAATATAGCTCAAGCGATTCTAGAATCATATTTTATCATATCTTAGTCAATAGGTTAACGTCCAGCTCAAACGACCACCAATTTTTAAACAGAAATGGACTAGTTCTGAATATATGAATAATTGGGTGACCACTTCATAATTTTTAATAGTTGGGGGACTCAACAAAAAAAATCCTATAGTCAAGAGATCATCTTGTAACTTTTAATATTGGAGGACTCAACAAAGCAATACCCTATAATCGAGGTACCATTTGTTTATTTTACCCTTAAATTTAACAATACAACTAAGAGGATATGATATCTATAGCATTTAAGTAAAATCATACTTCCATTTTCTACCTTAAAAAACACTTGTATTTTTATTTATTTAATCACTTTTAAATGACATTTTTTCACATAAATCTAAAACAAATAGAAAGAAATGAGTATATAAACTAATTTTTGGTGAGAATTTAGTTAAATCTAAATACCAAAATCGCACATATATCAACATTTTTGTAAAGAAGAAAAATATTATTTTTTGATAGAAAAATTGATGTTGTAGAGAGATTATAAAGCCCTAGAAACTTGAAAAGGTGTGGGTGTTGGGGAAGACAGTGCAGTTGATTCTTGCTGTCGGTGATCACGGATTTGTCTTTGTCCCTCATTACCCATATGACCGCTCCTAATAAGGACAAGCCTTGTATTTTATTGGCTACTCCCAAGATTCCTCTGCCTCTCCCACAACATGTTCAATATAATATATCAATTTTGCTGCTTCTCAAAGCATATCGGATTCAAAGCCATCACAGCTTCCATGATCGCCATTCTCTTACCACCAAATTCGATCTGATTCTTACAGTAAAGTTTTCACATGCCATACTCATCAACTGTGATAATGTTCGGGGGAAAAACATCAAATGTATGCATTTGATGTGCATGTGAAGAAGATGAAAAGAGGACAGGGAAAATTCTTTGTTTGATGTGCTTATGGAATAGGCAGGTAGGGTCAACTCCTACCAATCTCTTCTCCCAAGGCAGGATGTTGTCTAAACATTAATATAATATGGTTGCATGAGAATCCGGATCCCTTTTTATGCGGATCGAACCGACAATGAGTATGTTTGTCCTTTCTCTAACCATCACATCCCCATTCCTCATATTAAATATCATGACATGATGAATGTGTGCTAATGATTTACATCACGCATAAAGTTTCTTGAGCTATATGATTAAGAAATATTTGTTTAGAGCGGATACATATAAATTAATTATATAACATGAGATGAATACATATAAAATTTTAGATGATCATATTTAATAAAATAAATAAATAATTAAAAAAATTATATTTTAAGATAGACAAATGTCTACTCTAAAATAAGTTTGAATCCGCTACTAATTGTATTAACAAACTAAACTTATCCAAGCTCTAGTTTTCAGCTTCCTTTCTTGTATGCTCCCAAAATCCCACTTTTGTGTTTAGTTGATTGGATGGGGGCAAATTGGTGATTATGGTATGTGTTCCATTTGAAATAATTTTCATATGAGATACATTAATTGATTGAATAATTAATAACATTTATGTTGTCTTATTTTTTTATATATTCAAATTCTAATATTTATTTTATCTAAAGTTTAAAGGTCAAAATGATACTTCATTTGAAGTTCAAGGTTTAACTAGTATTCTATCTAAAGTTCATGGGTATAATTAAATATTAACTCCCTTTAATTAATACGTCACATCATCAAACTAACGTGAGTTAACAGGTTAGTGACTAAAATGTTACAATCGATAATATAAGTGAGTAAAATTTAATAAATCGATAATATAAATTACCAAAACTTTTTTTTTTTGAATTTGGTGAGTAAAAATATACAAATATGAAAGATAAGTGACCAATCAAGTAATTTACCCTAGAAAATCCATAATATTAATAGATCCTAGAGCAATTATTGAATATGGAAACCTCATCCAGATCCAATGGTCACTATGAATAACTTGTACTAGCTTCCATAATATTTTGGAGATATTATTCATTAAAGAGTCTTACTCTTCCCTTGTTTTAGCTTTAGACTTGTATAATCCATCTTATACAATTTAGTCTTTAATCTTTTATGGAACCAATTCCCAATATTAAATCCTTAATTCGAAACTCATATTTAACCCCATAGTTAACCAAAATTACTCCATTAGTCCTCAACATAATTTAAAATTAATGGATTAGTTCTCGAAGGATTTTTTAAGGCGTCACAATAAGGGTAATCAAATATAAAGGCTCTCCCACCTCAGATATCGTGATCGATTTAATGAGCAAACAAAACAAACACGAACATTCAACTCAAATCTCTCGTCTTCTTTCTAGTATAAGCCTGCTCTTATTCAATGACATTCAATCAATCCATTATACCTTTTTCAAGTCGACTAAGTGCTTTTTAGGCATTGTTCATCCAGGTTGAAAGCTAACCTACACGCACGATTCATGTTTCAGTGCCTAAGGTCGTACGGTTTGTTAGTTTCAACTCTAGTCTTGTGACATAGTACGATAACACAGGCAGGGACAGATTCCAGTACGGTTGACTTGGCGGTGAAATGAGCAAACCTACCATAGGGGAATATCTGATAGAAGGCTGCAGCATAATTTTTGCATTGAGTAATTAGCTTGGTTTTCCAGTGATGGGGTCAAACAGGATGCAGGTCTTTCAATGATTTTGCCAGTTGGAGAGTCCTCTTTTGGTCGCCTGATAATTTCTCCTGCTAGCTCTATATATTCGCTCCCCCTTGGCATCCCCACTTGCTTTCAATAAATAAAGAATCGATAGTTTGCTGTCTATTTTCATGTTTCATCGAGCAAAACCAGGTATGCTTGAACTGATAGGAAGCTGTCCATGGAAATTTCACCTGATGTTGGTGAGAGATTGACATCTTCCATGAAAATTTGTTGGAATAGTTGCTTATAAGTTATCACTGACCATCCATTCAGAGTAGTTTTCAACACCATCAAGCCTAAATTGGTCATTTGGAGAATCACCCTTATTAATCCATGGTAAGATGCCTGACAAACCTAAAAAGTGGGATTTATAGGTTTCACCGCCATATTGAGTTAAAGAACGGGAAAGCTTCAATCCAAACTGATGAAGTGGAAAACTGGAAACTGTTAAGTTGGGCACCCATTTCTGCCAAGTAAAATCCTTCTTCTTCTTCAAAGGGTGAGCCTATTGGCTTGTAAGTTGGCCAATAAGGGTGGTGGAACTCCATTTGAGTTGGTTTTGTTTTTGGAGAAGAAGCTTTGCTCTATAGCCATGAAAATGATAAAGCACCAGGAACAAATGAAGCAAAAATAAAATAAAATAAAAACTCAATCATAAAGAATTCCTAAGATACATTAATAGCATACTTCTTCAATAATTGAATGCTGAGGTTATTTTATCCTTATATATCAAAATTTCATTCAAGGAAAACCCATTGAATAACATCAATGGTTAAATGAAATGTTATTTTTCATTTAGGTTCTTGGTTCGAGTATATACGTCTGCAACGTGTGTTCGTCATTCCTACACTATTAAAAAAGAAAAAAAACTCTTTCAAGGATTTATTTTTAACATTGGAAATCATGCAAACCCATCCAAAGTTTACATTGAAATAATTAAAGGATGGTGGTGGATATTTCTTTGATTATTTCACACAAATCCAAATCTAAGTTTCTTTACAATATATAATACAACCATAATCCGTAAACCTACTTTCATGTTTAGTATACAAACCATATGCATCATCATACATTAAGTGGGAGGAACAATCTACCGATTAATAGTAATTGGGTGAACTACACGTTGAGTATTACTTTTGTTTTATTTTGGTTATCCAACTATTTTTTTCAAAATCATATTTAACTTTACGTTTTGATTTTATTTTAATTACATACTGTTAAAAAAGTAACAGAACTACTGACGTGATATTTTTTATTTTTTTAAATGATGATTTGATATTATCTTATAATGACACATCAATATCACCTTTAATTTTTTAACTACATGTGAATAAAATAAAATTAAAACTAAATATTAAATATAATTTAAAAAATATTAGAATAGAATAAAAGTAATTTAGGTACCAGTAAACTGCATGTTATTTTGAGGTTCACTACAGTGTAAAACTGCAAAATTAAACTACGTTGCCTACAGTAAAAGAAAGTGTTAAATTTTTATAGGGGTAGAGGAGAGCAAGAAGGGCACTTGATTAGCCCATTTTCATTGCAGGTCGTACAAGTCTTGAACCCAGATTTTTGGGTGTACATTTTACGGCTACCGTCGCATTCGTTGCACAAGACGAACCTATAACAGCCGCAATTGTCGCAAGTGTCAGGGTCAGCAGCGGGCAATCCTTCCACCAACTTCTTGAGCTCGCCCGTCTCGTGCAGCTCTTTGATCTCCTCTGCACCGCCCATGTATCTGCCCCCAATGAAAACCCGCGGCAAACTCAGCTTGCTTTGACCCACTATTCCTCGCAATTCCTTTAAGAAACTAGAGTCCATCGACACATCTCTTTCGTTGATCGAGACTCGGAATCCTTGGAGGATCGAAAGGACGGTCTTACAATTCTCGAATGTCGACCGAACCACACGAAGGCTCGTGGAATATACCACAATCCGCTTGTCGGAGCCCGGGATAGAGTTGGGGCGACCCGAAATCGAATCCGGGATTTTCCCATTTGGGACGGGAGCCCAAGAACGGCGGAGGGAGTTAGCGAGTCGCACGCGGTGGAAGACATTGGCGGCGGAGAGAGGGGAAGTAGAAGAAGAATCCTCCGTGCAAAGGCGTTGGATATCTTTGAAAGAAGAGAGGGAGAAAGAAGATGAAGTCTGAGGAACTGGCAAAGACTTTTTTTGGTTATCCCACAGTCTCCACATTTGATTTGAAAGATTAGATGTTCCTTTCAAAAGTTGAGTATTCAACACCTGAAAAACACCATGAGTTTGGTGGCTCACTTTGTTGTGTTGTTTTTTGTATTAAGGTAGATGAGGGGAGCTAGGTTTAGTTAATTTGGAAGGGATGGGTTCCTTTCAGTTACCATCTTCTCTGCTGTAAATTGAATTCTGCCTCACCATTTTGACATTACCCTGAACACAAGCAGAAATGGAAGCATTCTGTATTCACTGTTTGAGCAGCTATAGCTTACCTACTTCTGCTAACCCCTTTTGCCCATAAGTGAATGGGAATCATATTTGGCATTAACATGGGACATTTGGCTCCTCCATCAAACGCTCTTAGCCAATGGCTTTTAATGAAGTTATGGAACAGCAACAAATAAATAAAAAGGGAGTTTGGTACCCAAATTCCATAATATCTGCAACAGATAGACAAGCGTGTTGGAAGCACTGAAGGGATTGTTTCCTAAAGTTAGAGATGACAAAAGCAGCATATATCCCAAAGCGGAGTGCTCTGAAAAGTTCAACATCTCACATGGCTTGGACAGAGGATATAAGTACATACATAACCCACATCCACATGCTGATTAATCAAGATATTAATCTCTTACGTCTTTGTCCTCCCAAAATTTTCATTTCCTTCTATGACTTGAGCCAAATTGTTTTTTTAAACAGTACATATTTCTCGGGCTTGCTAAGAAATAAAAACATTGCAATTTCATTCCATCATAGTATTTTTGTATTATATACATGCATATATGTAAAGATCAGTTGCTTCGTCTGGTTCAAGGAAAAACAAAAGACATCAAAATATCCCAACCTAAGTGTTCCTTGAGAAATCTAGCAGTTAGCAGTTTGCACTGAAATTTCATAAATGAAATTGATAGCGAAGCAAGAACTACCAAGTTTACCTACATGATTGCATGCATGTCCAATAAATACCAAAACTTAGGAGGATTATATCATATTCAGCAACTAAAGTAAGACACAATTTTTATATGAATTTTGCAACCGTCTAGCAAGATTCCATTTTGTACGCTCATTGCTATAAAACCAGAACAGAAGAAGAATGTCATTGCCATACTAAAATTACAGCCTCGTTTATTAGGCGGGTTACTGAAACATCTCAACGATAGTAGATGGAAATCTGAGGAATGTCAATATCATTGTCGTCATCATCCTCACATGCCACCACCACATCCAAGTGAGATCGGTAGGGAGGCAATTCTGCCTTTGAAATTTCCCGAGCCACATCCACCACCTTCTTATCCAATCGCTCTCTGTGTCTTGGGATCATGCTGTTGAAGAGCAGGCAACTTCCATAAGATATGCTGTAAGCATTCAAGCCCTTGTCTTTGAGCCACCGGATGAGCTCTCTCAGAGTGGGATTACCTCTCAAGATCCATCGGTTCCACACAGTCCAGCTCATGTCCCGGTGCTTAATGACCTTGGGCGGAACTGGCTCAGCCATAGAGAACAAAGGCAGTGCTAGGTTTGCGAATGTATTTCTATAGTCCTCCACTTTATGCACTCCATCTAGGACTTTGTATAGTTCAAGGCATACGAGGCCAGTAGCCATAGCTGTGGAAGTAGCTATTGCTGGTATGATTCTTCCGGCGATGAACTTTGCTTTTAGCTTATCCACCTCAGGAATGCTGTAGTTCCTTGCCCGCATGTTGGCAAGCCCGGCTATAAGATCCGTGTGATAGTTTGTATCATCATCCTGCAATTCATGGAATTACATTAGCATTAGCATCCATCACAAGGTGATGAGCTCAAAAAATAACACCACCAATAACAAGCATAGCACATAGATAAAGGGTTACAAGTTTTCACCACAGAGAAGATGTAATCAAACCTTTTCAAATTGAATTGGTTTCATCCTGAATCCTGGTGGCAGATTGTTCCTGGAACGCTCTAAGTTGAAGAGTAACTCATTAATAACTGCTGCATCATCAGTAGACACAGTGGAAATACTAGTAGCCTTCTCATCTGTCTCAATTTTAACACCTTCCTTTGGCTGAAAATCTGGGACTATTACCTTCTCAACTGCCCCGGCCAACATCTTAGGATTCTTGGCCCAATCAGGGACTGGGATACCAAATGTTTCAGCTCTAAGTATAGATGCTGCCATAATGAAGTTCAGATGGCTAGAATCAGCAGCTGAAAACTGAAGTGGATGTGGGAATCGCTTTGGAGCAGACCAGAAGGGAGCCCCAGTACTGGTTGCAGCATCCTCAGGAAATGTAAATGTTAACTGCTTCACCCGGTTCACAAAATAGTCTTCAAATCTAAGTACAATAGTATAATGTCAATAAAAAATTCTATAAGAAACTGAAGCAAACAAAAAAATTCCTCAATCATCTAGAGTACTACCTTAGGCGAGCCCAGGTGACACAATCTTGGAATGTCTCGCATTTTTCCCGCTCCAGGCACTCAAGGATGCGCTCTAAGTTATCCTTAGCCTGAGCATCACCAGCATTTCTCATCGATGTGGCATATTCAGATGGATTGGAAAGATAAGCATTCACTTCAGCAGGAGTTTTCTCAAGCAAGCCCTCAAACTCAGATCGAGCCCAAGTCAAGCAATGGTCAATGTTGTGTGGAAATGAGTGCACCGTGCACATGGGTGCCTGTTTCTCAGGTGGGTCTCTAGAAGCTCCGTAGTTCTCAGTCAGATGGGGAATCACCATCTGGGTGTTGCATTTAGCACCAAGAGTTCCAGACTCGAGAAGTGGTTTCTGGAAGTATAAGCACCTCTGATCAACATACAGCCTAGCATTGACATTATCTAATGCATTGATGGACACTGTTAAGTTCTCCCAGAAATTGTCATTAAACACAGACTCAGTTTCAGGACCCACACGATTTTGCAAAGCTTCAATTTTAAGCTGAGGATTTATATATGCAGCAGCTGAAGCAGCAACAGTTGATTTAGCCTGTCCGATGTTCCAATCACGGAACAAAAACTGCCTACTGAGGTTGCTCTTCTCAATTACATCATCATCTGTGATTGTTAGCTTTCCCTGACTATCACATGAAACACCCATCAATGCCACATTTTTCAGGAACTCACAGCCTAGGGCCCCAGATCCAACTATAAACACTTTTGCATCCTCCAGCTTCTTCTGAAGTTTGGACCCAAATACTGATATCTGTGCATCATAACGGCTATTCAATGGTTTAAAATCACTGGGGTCCAAGGGTTCAGTAGGAAGAGACTCCACCGAGTCAAAATAGAAGAACTGTCAAAAACAAAAGATCTGCGGTTAATTCTCCACTAACAGTCAAGTTGAAAAGCAGTCAGTACCATATCAGCTGTGAAAGTAATCAAGTATCACGCTAAAATAATTAGCACAAAATTGCCCTAATTAGTTCCAAAGACACCCTCTATTTAGCAGCCTCTCCAAATCTTACAAAAATATAACTGCCTAGTTTGACAGATTAATTAAGTGTTCAAAAGATGGAGCAGAGTTCAATTTAGCATTAATAGAAATATAGTCCTAATACCCTAACTAGAATGTGCTAAACATCTAAGCATTGGCATCCATACTTGCATGCATAGCTAGATACCATCTAAATATACACATGCAACAATGAGAAAAAAACATATGGAAAAGAGTAGTTCCAGAAACCTGAAAAAGAGGATGGAATTTTCCAGAACATGCTTTGACAACCTCTTGTCCCACAATACCTCCAAACATGGCAGCCATGGGATTCAGTACAGCCCTCGCACCAAAGGCAAAGTGCCTGAGAAGTTTTGGGTTAATATCTTCCACTTTACCCTCCCCAAGGCATTCATTGATGTTAGCAGCAATAGATGTAAGCTTCTGAGCATCCTCTTCTGATCCAGCAACAGGGAAGCGGCCCAATTCACAGATAAACCTATCCAGTGCTTGGAATGCAATGTGCAGGAGAGGTGGGAGGTCAAACTTTGAGAAATCACTCAAAAGAAAATCACCAGGGTATTTAAGAGCTTCCTTCAATGGCTTAAAATTCAACACCTTGGGCTGTTTCACCTGAGTGACAATGCCACCTTTTACATATGTACCAAAATTTGTGGTATCCTCCTCAAGCGTAAATGAGTATGGCCTTGCACTTTTAATCTTTCGTGGCTTTCCATCATTGAGTTCTATCATCCCCTGAACTTCAGAGAACACAACAAGATCCCCATCCTCAAACTCAAGCCTTTCATCATCGACACATGATACCAGGGCTGGGTTGTCATTGCTGATGGATGCAATTATGCCCGAGTGTGGTTCCTCTCCATCAACATCAAAAACAGTGAACTCAGGACCAAAGTCACAAAAGACTGTACCAAAAAGGCCTCTTACTTCGGTCTTGATAAAGGAAATTGGAGGCTGATGATTATGGCAGTAGTCATTATATTCGAGGGCTTTTTCTAGACTTACATCAGTGAACACAACAGCCTGCACCAGTTAGAAAATAACCAACTGAACACAAGATGACATACACAAAAAACATAATACAAGAGAGAAAGCAGGGAGCCAATATCCGATCAAAATCAATGGTTATATCATTTTTTCCAAGTGCCAAAAACCCCATAGTCTCTGGTCTAAAGCAAATCTAGTTAAATTGTAACCGGTTGAACATTTATCCCAAAACTATAATACAATTTTAAACAACAAAAAAATCACAGGAAGCCTAAACTTAAGCGAAGAACTAAATAAAACAATGAAAAAAATAATATACCTGGAAATCAGAAAGTTGTTCTTTGGTCAAATTGGAAGTTAAGGTGGAAATGACAACAGCATTGTTTAGCTCCTGCAACTTCTGAACAGAAGCAAGTGCTCTATTCTTACCTACATCATTCTCAGAAAAAACAAAACTACTGGACAAATCCCACATCTCCACCACTCCTTCATCATGCAAGGTCACAGACTTGACACCAGCAAGAATGAGATTCTTTGCTGAAAAAAGAAAGACATTGAAGTAAACATTCAAAATCATGTAATTGTTTACTTCATATAATTGTTAACAACAAGAATTGAACATATCGTTGATGGGGATAAAATTATCTTCAAACAACATCACAGAGCACAATGCTGTATAAATGTTCAATCTCAGGGTCATATCCTCCATGAAGAACGAAAGCACGTTGTCAAAAGAATATCAAGAAATAAAACATCAACACAACAGAATCAAATGACATTAGAAACTAAGAAAAAGAAAATAAAAAACAATAAAAGGAAAAGGTACAAAATCAATACCAATTTCAGCACCGAGTCCCTGCATGCCCGAGATGAGAATATTTGAGGCAAAAAGGCGGCGCATTGTCTCGCGGCCATACACAGCAAGCTGCCGGCTGTGCAGATCCTCATCAATATCATTCTGATTCGC